ACTGTAAAACTGAAATGGCATACCACAGCAGCACAACGAATATGCATGAATATCTCAAAAGAAAACATCCCGGCGCTCTCCGACCTCAAAATGACGAGACGGCAGCGCAAGTATTTGAACTATTACAGTACGTTTTTACACAACACTAGAATACAGGCCATATAATGTGCTTAATACGGCTGCGTTCATACAGATTTATGTTTAATACGAGTAGAGAGGCGTGCGGCTGACATGACTCCCCAATATTTCGAACAGTTTCTAGAATCTGTTGTAACTCTTTGTGTATTCCAGTCCGTCAAGGCTGGTTAGGATAAACAGCAACAAATGGTTACTCCTCAGCATAATCTGACACAAGATGTATCAGTAAGATGGAACAGTACATTTTATAGGATCAGTCGCCTGCTGGAACAGAGGTGGCCTGTGACAGCAGCCCTTCCAGACCCTGAAGTCACACAGCGAGGGAAGCGCTACCTGAATAACTGGAACAAGCCCTAGAGCCCTTTGAGTGTGCTACTGTCTTCCTGAGTGCACAGGCAAATGTCACGGTTTCTGCTCTACCTCCACTGGTGAGGGGTCTGCAAAAGTCAGCACAGAACACAGCATTTGAGACCGCGGCTGTCAAGGCTTTTCAAGTTGCTGTAGCAGAAGAAATTGCTTCAGGATGGATGGTAGAGGCCACATTCAGAGATGACGCACATAATGTATGTGTTAATGCTGCTGCTCTAGACCCAAGGCTTCGAAAACTGAAGTTTCTGTCAGAACAAGAAAGCCTCAAAGTCAAAATTCAAGCTCTTGCACTGCAACAAAAAAAAAAAAAGGTGAGAGGGAGGAAATACAGCAACCTCATGTGGAACACGAGGAAGCAAATGCCATGAGAGAAGGCCAGTGTCTCTGCTGGACACTGCTTGGTTTTGATTCAGATGAGCACAGCAACACCGAGTTTCAACATCATCTTTATCATTGTCTTCCTCAAAGTAAAATGGTGAGGAATGAGATACTAATGTATTTTGGTGAACCACCTATCCGAAAGGATGAGAATCCACTCAATTGGTGGAAGGCAAATAAAGCCAGGTTCCTACCTTGGCAACACTTGTCTATTCCTGCAACATCCAGCCCATCTGAACGCCTCTTTCCAGCTGCCGGAAACATTGTGACTAAGAAAAGAGCAAGTCTGACTGCAGAAGCTAGACTTTTGTTGACCATTTTTGACCCAGAACTTGGGAAAAGTTCAATATTGAAATTGATGCTTTTTAAAAAAATTTTTTTTTTTTTGCTGATTTAATTTCCATTACTAATATATGCCTATTTTGTTTAAGGTGAATAATGCCCTTTTTGCACTATTTATGTTGGGCTGAATTTATGTTGGACTTGTTTTTTATGTGATTTGTTATATTTTTCTTGGCACTTTATTTTTAATGTTGGAAATTTTTTATGTTTGTTTAACTGAGAAAAATGTTTAAATAAAATGTTGACATTAATGGCAGATGTTAATAGTTATTACTCACTGGCAAATACACCGAGATTAATCAACTACCCGAAAAATAATCAAAAGACTAATCTGAAAAATAATTGTTAGATTATTCGAAAAAAATATATATATATTTTAATCGATTGCAAAAATAATTGATAGTTGCAGCCCTAGAGATAATCAGCATGCAGTGACTATCAAGCTTTGTCAGCTGGAGAAATGTCTTATTATTTTATAAGTAGGCTGGTATTTATGACATGTTATTTTTATAGCTTGTTGTACATTCAGGTCTGTTAATATGTTAGTTTGGCACTTTTGAGGATGAGTAAAAAAAAAAAAAAAAATCACAAATACAACAAATGTCAAGATAAAAAAAAAATCAAAGTTTTCGTTAGATACTGTTTTCATCTTTTTCTAATCAGAAGTACATATTGGGTTTAATGCTTCACAAAATAACTGTTTGGATTAGGCTACTTCTGTATTATTTTATATCTCTATTCCTGTAGACCTGGAGATTTTAATAAGAATCAAATGAGTGAGTTCAGCTTTGAGAATGAAAACCAACCTGTTTGTTCCTCAGGATCTTCATGTTTGACTCTGAATGTTTCTTCAATCCTCGTGTCTTCACTCTCCTCTTTAATAATCTCCATCTTTATAATAGTAATCTGGGTGCATCTCAATCAGCTCCCTAGTTCAGTAGTCAGCACACTGGTAAGATAAAGTCAGTCAGAGTGAGAGTTAATGGCATTAAGTCACCTGGTTAGCCAAAAACAAAACAAAAAAAACACTCAATACTAGCACTAAAAAATAAAAACAAATTACATTGAAAAGTTCATATTAAGTATTTATGTGTTTATATTTGGTATGTAATAATTTGTAGATCACATTTAATAGATTCCACATGAAAACATTTACAGTTGGTTTGTAAAAGTTGTTATTACTCATGTTTGTTGTTCTCGTTGCATTTACACTAGGGTGACCATATTTTAGTTTTCCAAAAAGAGGACGGGGGGTGGGGAGGGTTTTTTTTTTCTCGCTAAACAGTATATGTAGCAAGGTTTTTTTTGTGTTTATTTGCTTGTTTTGTTTTTATAATAAATAAAAATAAAACAAGTCAATAGAACAGAAAAAGAATAGAGAATGCTAGTGTTAAAGGCTCTTTTTTCTTCTTCTTTTTAAATAAAACATGTAGTTAGAATAGAAAGAGTGCAAATGTTAGATGGTCAAATTTCTTTAATAAAAAAAACAAGCAGATGAAATTAGAATTAGCATTATAATAAAGTGCTAGAGTTAGAGGGTCAAATGAAGATGAAAGAGATGTGTTTTCAGCTGTTTCTTGATAATGATTAAAGGGTTAGTTCACCCAAAAATGAAAATTAGCCCATAAATTACTCACCCTCAAGTCATCCTAGGTGTATATGACTTTCTTCTTTCATTTCATTCTTTCAGACGAATCCAGTAGGAGTTATATAAAAAATTGTCTT